CGGATTCGACGAAGGAGCGATTTAAATCGCATCATATGACCCCTTTAAGAGCCAGAGGACGCGAGCTTGCGCGCGCAGTGAGAAGATTTGTGCTCAGAATGCGTGCAAATTTTAAGCTTTAGTATTGTTTAAATATACAAATTCACACAAAAATTGTCAAAATGCCTGTCTTGGTAAGTATCTTATAGCAGACCTAGCCGACTGAACGTACTGGATCAGTGCATTCTCTTAAAGCGACAGCACTTAATATTAATCATACAGAAACAACAAAGAAATCACTCACTGCTCTTGATTGAATAGCTTTTGTAACTTTAATAAATATTAATCTTTAATTTATACAGTCAAATATGCAATGCTATTTTACATTTCATTACTTTATTCAATTTCTGTACCTGAAAACTAATGTTAGACCCACCTAAAAAAAACTGAAAATTACTGTTTATTATTTGTATTTTACTCTATTGTATTTATTTGTGCTGTTGCTTGTAGTTAGATGGATTATTCTTATTTTCTTTATTTTTATTTGACAGTGTAGTTTTTGCCTAAACATAGCACATACCGAACCTCACCGAAACCGTGACTCTAAAACCGTGATACAAACCGAACCGTGAGTAAGTTGAACTGTTCCACCCCTAATATTTATATATATATATATATATATATATATTCAATACTAACATTCATTCATAACGTATGTTTGATATGTGTGTAAAAGCACTTTTTTGTGAAATCATAACATTCTATTAAGTAAGTTGTGTTTGTGCACTACATTTACACAAACAGTGGATTCAAGTACGTTTTAAGGCAAGAAAAATACTTTATATAGACCTGAATGTTTGGCTAAAAACATTGTGAGAGTTCTGTTGAACACTTAAAGGGTGCTGTTGTGTTGATGTGGCGATTAAAAAAAATCTCTTTACAAAAGGTATGATACATTTACCAATTTTTTTATTTTTCCCAGTAACTAGCAACTTTAAACTTGCTCAGCATGTCTTTTTAAACAGTTGTTCGAATGAGAAAACTGACATTAAAAGATTGTTAGCGCTGTAGTACCCCTAGTGGTATTGATGGAAAAGCAACGTGTATTTGCAAAATGCATCAACTAACTTTCATAGCTAGAAGTGCTTGCATACTTCGTTCTTTCCTGCAGCATTTAGTTCCAACACTAATCAAAAACAGCTGCCTCTTATGTTCAGCTAATCCTGAAGACTTTGATTAGCTTTTTCAGGTGTGTTTGATTAGGGTTGGCGCAAAACCCGACAGAACAGTGGCACTCAGGACTGGAGTTCAATAGCCCTGACTTCACCACAAACTAAATTTTGAATAGGAACAATGCATTCCGAAGGAACTATTCACACCCAGGATGAACATTCTGTTGATGACAGAGTACTGTATGAATTTTTGCAAACTGACAAAAAAAAACCTCACTGACCAGTAATTTGTAGTTATTGATTCATTCTCTTGCCCCGATAGTTCTAGTCTACATGTCTGTTCAATATGTGCATTTACATTTGGAAAAGTAAATTTTAGAGGTTGTCTACAATAGGTTGTCTACAATACTTTAAAACATTCAATACCCTAAACCAGGGGTGCCCAAACTCGGTCCTGGAGGGCCGGTGTCCTGCAGAGTTTAGCTCCAACTTGCCTCAACACACCTGACTGGAAGTTTCTAGTATGCCTAGAAAGACCTTGATTAGGTGCTTCAGGTGTGTTTGATGAGGGTTGGAGCTAAACTCTGTAGGACACCGGCCCTCCAGGACCGAGTTTGGGCACCCCTACCCTAAACGTATAGCAAAGGATGCACATTAAGCTATCTTGCAATCTGATTTTTCACCAGTTTTCAGCTGTGAGCTTCATTTACATTTGAAAATTGAATGGAGTGGGTGCAAATGACTGAGACTTTTAGTGTACTTCATTGGTTGTTTACACCTAGTATTAACATTCATTTCTGTTGGATGGGGCTACACAAGTGTAAACAAGATCCAAAATGTTTTGCGATCTGGTCAAAACATGTCAGAAACACAATTTACATAAACTTTTGAAAATTGAAGTGGTTAAACAAGACACTTTTGCAACACTGGCTGAACACTTGCGAATGGTTCTATTCGCACCAGGTGCAAACATTTGCATACTGACAATCCAATTCTTTTTTTGTTGTTTTTACAGAAAAAAACAGAGTTATGCAAAGAAAATAGGCCAACCGACATTATATGAGCTTATTCCTGATTCTTGAGCCATGGCTGATATGCAATCTAGCGTTTAAGTGGCAGCCATTTTGTCACTTGTCATTGATTGGATTGCTGTTGTCTTTGCAACATGGTGTTTTTGGGGGGGTTTTGCCATATTATCAAGGCATACATTTGTGCATTTCTTTTGGTTTTCACAGTAAAATATTCAGTACTCACTGAGCTCACCCACAGACTATATCTCTCAAAATGCATCAAATGCTTGATCTGTGTTGCTGTATTTCTTGTAGAGCTATTTGACTATCTTCTCCATCTTCTCTGGTTCCTGACCAACTGAAAATTTTAAAATATGAATTTGGTTTTCATTTAGCCTGTAAAACACTCATTTCACTCTTGGTGTGAATAGACCTTTTAGATGTAGATGTGATTCATCTCACATTTAGTGTAAACGGTTATTGTTGGGCGATATGCTCCATAGTCATACCATCCTATCGTCAGCCTATGAGGGCGCCAATACATGATATCATCGTGCTAATTTAATTATTTACTTAGTTTCATAGCTGGGAGTGAACCAACTCCAAGGTAAGGCTAAAAACAGCATAATGTTAGTGTAATCTATTAACTACACATATCGTTTTAGTCAAGTAGCAAATGGGTGTCATGTCATAAAATATTTTGAATATGACTGAGTTTGTACTTAACATGATCACAATTTCATAAACATTGTAAGTTACTAATTATAATGCTTACATTTCCTCAGTTATGCAGCTACAGAAAACGAGCAAGGAACATTTACATTATCAAAGAACATCATTGACTTCAGTCTAGTGTGAATTTTTGCACACACTAGGGCTATGACGGGTGCAATGACAACTGCACCACCTTCATTCTGCTACATTCATTACTACATTCATTCTGCCGTGGCAGTGTTTAGTGTCCCCGCCAGCAGCAGCAGCGAGCGCAAGTGCCTTCAGTGCAGCTGGAAGAGTTCCACGGTCAAGCACACGCAATAAGCTAGATGGAGCTTGCCGCAAAGCCCCAGCAAAAGTAATTACCATGAATGTGTCAGGGGGAAATATTAAAGGGTTAGTTCATCCAAAAATGAAAATTAGCCCATAAATTACTCACCCTCAAGTCATCCTAGGTGTATATGACTTTCTTCTTTCAGATGAATCTAGTCAGAGTTATATAAAAAATTGTCTTTGATCTTTCAAGCTGTTTAATGCCACTCAGCGGGTGTTGCATGCATCAGTCCAAAAGAAGTTAAACAAAAAGCGCACATCCTTTAAAAAAAGTGTCTCTCACTGCTCCGGGGGTGAACAAATGGTTGATGACGTATGAGTTCAGCGTTGCGCATGCTCATGAAAACCAACGTTTGTTAACAGGAGCAAAGTTTCCTTACTTTAGCAAAGGAAAACCAGTCTCCTCTTGGCTTATATCGAAATCCTTCGACATTCTTCTTTACAAATACTCGTTTTGTACTTCTAATTAGTGACCGTTGTGTTGTTTTGATCTTAAGTAACAAAGCACAAAGCTTTTTGCGATTACTGGACGGCAAGTGTGCTTCAAATAATAAGTTCACGCATTAACAGAACACAGCATAGACTAAGATCTTGTTAAGAAGAAGCCGTATTAGTAATGATTATAAACTAGAATTGTTAACGATATTGCCAATATCCACACAACTGACAGCTTTACCTCTTGTAGTTTGTTCAAGTTGTGCACGAAATAAACGTTGCTTTTCGGCACTTTCACTTCGCACATCTCCGTCATTTCGTTCTCTCTCGCGTTGTACAACTGAGCTGCGTTTAGCAGACTGTGTGTGACAACGCTGCTGTGAGGCAGAGATACGAGGACTGTTTGAAACTCTTTTTTTTCCCTCTAAAAGTGATGCACATGCATTGTCTCAGTTTAATACGTGAACATAACAAAAGATGTGATCGCAAAACAATTATGAAAAAAGGCATTACATGCAAATTTTTAAGTTATAACATGTAAATCTATATCGTCGCCAGTGGCAACCTCAGCAAAAACTTCACTCGCAAATTAATATTTTTGGTCGCAAATGCAACCGGTTTAGTCGCAGTCTGGAGCACTGTATATATGTGCGTGTATTTTTTATATATATTTTTTATTTTATATATATATATATATATGTGTGTGTGTGTGTTGTCAAAAGACCCAGTATTTCGGTACCAAGTCGGTACAAAAAAAAATGAAAATGTTATGGTACCAGGTTTTCTTAAGTACCGGTGGTACCGAGTACCCGGTCAATCCGGTTCTTGAAAAACACCGAGACGTGGTGACCTCAAGAGGAGGAAACTCATCAAAGTAACAAAACACCTTAAAGACCGACACCCCGATCAAATGAAAGAGTTCAAGCAGGTAAGTTTCAATTAAATTTGTAATATTTAGAGCTTCTGTTATTAATATTTATCCATATTTTAATTTGAATGTCGGATTGAAATAAACATTGCCGTTAGCATATACGTAGTTAATCGTTAGCATAAGCACGGCTAACGCTAATATAATGAGCATTATGAAGTTTTTGTTAACTATTTAATGCCCCATAACGTTTATTAGTTTAAAGAAAACAGGAGGACATAATGGTATTTACTATTTTTACACACCAGAGGCTTTTAAATGAACTGTTTATCCAAAATATGCATGTTAGAGAATGTACAAATGTATTAGGGGTGCTCCGATTGATCGGCTACCGATCACTATCGGCCGATAATCACGTTGGGATGATTGATCGGCGGTCTCTAAAAAGGCAGATCTCAAAAAAACGATCTCAAGCTGATGACGCTGTCATGAGAGGTTTGGCATGACATGCAGCAGCACCGTCTCGGTCCGGCGCTGGTGAAATAATTATGCTGAATGTGAGGTACAATTCATATGTCTTCTTTAGATCACTTATAAAGTAATTTGAAATCCTTGTGTGAGACGTAATTTCACAAACAACGTGAGTGAATCACCGCCCACGTGCGCTCTCTCTTTCTCTCTCAAAATACGCAAATGGCTTAAAATCACCACACATCGCCACTGTCTATAAGCGAGATGCACGCTGCACAGTTGACACAGAAATTGTCACTTGCACAGTCAAGGCAGTGTCACATCGTCACCTAAAGTTTATAAATTGCTTTTTAATTCTTGCCAGTGTTTAACCATTCAGCACTCTCCTGGAGACCGTGCGCTCATGCACACTCGCAGCGCATACACATAACGCCAGGTTCACATTTCTCCGTTTGCAGAGCACATGTGGTGCGTATTTTTTCCGCGCTCATGTTCACAGATTAATAAAGTGTGCACACTGCACACGGTTGGTGTCCGGCAGTGCGTTCAGAGATCGTTTGCGCACCGAGTCTGCAAGCCTACATTAAAGTAACAGCGCATTGCTTGCAGTAAATATGAACATGGATTGACACGAAAATTTTGTAATTACACCGTAAATGCATATTATAAAAGTCTACTGTGTTTCACAGTCAACACGTATGGCTTTTTGGCTAGGTTTAAAGGGAAAGAGCCCTTTTAGATAAACAAGGCAATAATAGATGGCACTCGTGGAGGTAGGAAAACAAAGTTCTTTATGAACCGCAGGATTGCTTGTAGTAAAGAATGCAATGCAAAAGGACAGGCAGTAGAGCTGCGCTATTTCTGTCAATGGTAAGTTTGTGATAACGTAAGAAAAGTAGTTTACATGTTTTGCCACTTGCTTGAGCAACTTAATATATAAATTAGGGCTGCACAATAAATTGCATGCGATATTTAACGCGCATCTTGTCAGAAAAGCCGGTTCTGTAATCAGTGGTAAATCTCCATCACCTGCGGGCTTTCACATTGAGCAGCATTAACTACACAGAGTCGTTGTTCACTGAGAGCTGCACAAAACCATGTTCATATTCGCGCGATTTTTGGCGCAGCTCGTCAGTGAACAACGGCTCTGTGTAGTTAATGCTGCTCAATGTGAAAGCCCGCAGGTGATGGAGATCGGCTTTCTGACAAGATGCGCATTAAATATCGCATGCGATTTATCGTGCAGCCCTAATATAAATCTATAAGTAAATGCAAAAGTAAAAGTAAAAAGCATTGAATAATGTGTTGCTTATATTTATTGTGTTTAAACATGTCTATGAAATATTGTATTACTGTACTGCAAAAAAAATAATTGCAATGCTGAAAAAGCATTTTCAGTGACAATGTTTGGATTTGAAATCAAACTAATGAATAAATGTTGTGTTTGTTGTAAACAGCCACGGATCAGTAATGGACTCCTGTGTGAAAGCTGCTTCACTCCTCACAAGAGTCACCTAAGGGGAATTACCCCCATTTTCAAAAATGAAATTCAGGCCCTGAATAAATGTCTAAAAATCCTGATTGGAGTATCACTGTAAATAGTTATAAATTATAAAAAGAAGGCTTTAAAAGATCGGCATCGGCAGATACTGCTTTCTGTGATCAGTGATCGGCCTCAAAATTCCTGATCGGAGCACCCCTAAAATGTATGGTTAACCGTGTTTGTCATATCAATCTGTCAGAAAAACAGTTTGGTTCTTTTTTTTTTTAGTTAGGTAGTTGTTATTCTTGGCTGAATAACTCTAGCAGTTTTTAAAAGCCCTTTAAAATTAAATATGAACAAAGTTTGGATTAAAAAGTAGTATAGTCAAATTGTATCTGCTGTATAGACGTTACAATGACTTCATGTCATCTTAACATGAGTTAGGTCTAGTAACATCTTACAGTGAGTGAACAATATATTTTTACAACATTCATTAATGTTTGAGAATGTTATTTAATACAAACACTTGATCATTCATGTTTGTTAATTGTGCATTAAATAATTTTAACAGATTGAACTTGTGAATTATGTATTAGTAAATTTTTTAATTAACCCTAAGAAGAATAATTGCTATATAAATATTGTTTATTGTTAGGTCATGTTGTCTAACAAATGGAATCTTATTGTAAAGTGTTTTTAATACTAGTTTCCATCTATTTGATATACACTTAATATATGTAATCTTATCTAAATTTATTATAAAAGCTGAGGTTTGTTATTTACTGAAAAGTTATATTTTAGCTGGTGTCAATGATCTAATGTTGCATTTGGTCAGACTCAGTCCATTGCTTTACTTAAGTATATCATATTTTTCTTTTACAGCTGCAGACTGAGGAAGATCCTGAAACACACCAGCAAACCCTAAAACAGACAACAGTTTACAGATGTTTTTTAGTGGCAGCAAAAATGACAAAAACTTTTGGGTGAAACTTGTTTAATTTTTTACATAATTTTATTACTTGTGGAAAAACTTGAAACAATTTTAAATAAGTATAAAGAATGGCAATGGTTTTGTACATAAAATTTTTGTTTAATGTTATTAATAAAAATAATGTTGTTCAATTAGCATGTGTTTGTGTTTTGCTTTGGTACCGAAAATGGTACGAGAACTGGATTTTCACTGGTATTGGTACCGAATACTGAAATTTTGGTAACGTACCGTGACAACACTTATATATTTATTTGTGTGTATATATATATATATATGCATAGGCCTAACAACACCGCACCACCAACGGTAGTTGGTCCTTTACCACCGCGGTGATAAAAATCTGCCACCATCACAGCCCTAGCACATACCGCTATAATCAGTGAAGCTATCTCTTATACTTACATTGTACGTACATCTGCACATTGTTTATGATGAGAGAATTTGCGAAAGAGCAGAATTCAGTCAGCGAGTGCACACTGAACAACAAAACTCCGGTGTTTCAGCGATTACTCATCTGAATGCCTCTGATTGGCCATTGAATTCATAAGCTCAACAGAATCGTGTGTGATTGGTTATAACGCATAACCTTGTAAAAACGCGTAAAGAAAAATAATGGAACAAATAAGCCCTAATATTAATTAGATGATAATACTAGCCTAATAATAATAATAAAAGTATTGTTATCATCAAAGGCATCAGCCACAGGTGATATCTCTGACTATCGTCAATATACAATATTATTGTCTATCAGCACAACCCTATAAATAGTCACCTATTGTCTTGTAACGCATAAAAGTAGTCAAGTCTGAACTTTTTACCCTGAAGATTCAGAGCATGCCGCTGATTGTTGTCAATTGTGGTCATTCTGTGAATTGCATGAATTTAATTGGTTAAGTTGGTAATGACGCAAGCTGCAGAACAATAACGCAAGCTGCAGAACAATTGTGACCCTGGACCACAAAACCAGTCTTATGTCGCTTGGGTATATTTTTAGCAATAGCCAAAAAAAACATTGTATGGGTCAAAATTATACATTTTTCTTTTATGCCAAAAATCATTAGGATATTAAGTAAAGATCATGTTCCATGAAGATATTTTGTCAATTTCCTACCGTAAATATATCAACTTAATTTTTGATTAGTAATATGCATTGCTAAGAACTTTATTTGGACAACTTTAAAGGCGATTTTCTCAGTATTTAGATTTTTTTGCACCCTCAGATTCCAGATTTTCAAATAGTTGTATCTCGGCCAAATATTGTCCTATCCTAACAAACCATACATCAATGGAAAGCGTATTTATTCAATTAAAAAAAACTGACCCTTATGACTGGTTTTGTGGTCCAGGGTCACAATTGGTCCAACAAAAGATCTATTAACACGAAGAGCGAAACAGTCCTATTTCATCAATGTAATGATGGTTGGTTGCAAAGTGAGTATTTGTACTTTGGATATCATAATTGCTCTTCAGTGCCAATGTGTTTTTGTCTGGTCATCCATTTTGAATGAGTGAACTCCTCAGACAAACAGATCTGATTCTCGAATATTCACCTGTTCTTTGAAACCTATGTTCTGTAGGACTACTCTAGGTCAGGGCTTTGTCACACTAGTGGTTAGGCGACACCAAGGTGTCGATTTTCTTCTTTATTGCTTGATAATGAAGTAATCTCTGTGATGTAGGTATTGCGATTGATTTCTTAGAATTTTATTGAGTATCATGTCCCAAATTCATTCCTTAGCCATTATGATTCGAATCCTCAATCTTCATGGACTTCATAAATTTACTTGGGAAGCAATGCCGCTTGGTATATTAAAACTTCATAGATTTTATCTGGTGTGTTTTGTCTAATTGCACTGGAAGATCTTTTCACTTTAACTTGTTTTAATTGCTATAAGACAAAATGTACTCGTATTAAAGACACATTTTTGGGAAATAAGTAATCTACATTGTTTTTCTCTGCTAATATTTTCAGGTTAAAAGGGTTATTCATAGAAACTTTGTAGTTTAAGAGGTGATTAACTGCATTTTTAATTCTTATTAAAAATCTGTATGCCATTTTGACTTGTACACAGGTTTCATCAATTTGCACCCAGCAAGCCTAAATAGACAGAGAGATCAAATAAGCGTGTGCGAGTACCTATGTCTGTCCTTCTTCAGGTTTAGTCAAATATTTGTGAAATAATTCAGTTTGCTATCAGTTGTTCAAAGGTGAAAGTGATATCTTTGTCTTAGTATGCTTTCAACATTTAAAAGCATAGTTCATCTAAAAATAAAAATTCTGTCATTAATTACTCGCCCTCATGGTGTTCCAAACCTATAAGACCTTCGTTCATCTTCGGAACACAAATTAAGATATTTTTTAGGGATGCAAGATATATTGGCCACCATATCAGTATCGGCCGATAAATAATCATTTTTACTGTTATCGGTATCGGCCCAATAAGAAAATTTGGCTGATATCTTAAAGCCGATATATAATGTATTATTTCCTTCAGACACACTTCAGATGCGCACTCTTCACCATGATGGTTTTGAAATGCTTGATATATGATTGAAATCACTTTGAAAAGGACAATACACTTAAGTGCAACATGTACAGGGCAAAT